AGTCACATCCCTCAAACCCTCTTCTGTGTTCAGGACCTGCAAGCAAGACAGGGCCGTCACCTCCTGTGATGGTTAATTTCAGGTATCAATGTGACCGGGCTAAGGGTTGCCCAGATAGCTGGTAAACATTATTCTGCGTGTGTCTGTGAGAGTTTCCAGAAGAGACGAGGAGTTGAATGGGTAAACTGAGGAAGGAAGATCCGCCCTCCCCAGTGTGGCAGGCACCATCCAACCCACTGAGGGCCCAGAGAGAACAAAAGGGTGGAGGAGGGGACTTGGCTCTGTCTCCCGGAGCTGGGACTTCCACGTTCTCTGCCCTTGGACATCCGAGCTCCAGCTGCTCAGGCCTTCGGACTCGGACAGAGCGACAGCTCCGGCGCCCTGGGTCTCCAGCTTGCAGTCGGCACAGGGTAGGACTTCCCAGCCTCCGCAGCCCCCTGAGCCAGTTCTCATGGTAAATCCCCTCTTCTCTGTCCAGACCTATACCAGATCTGTGTGCCCCGTGGTTCTGTGTCTCTGCGGAACACTGACTAATACACGTCCCCAGGAGTGGCCACCGCAGGTCCCCCGCAGCCTCTGGAGGTGGTGCAGCCTCTGCAGTGAACGGCGTGTGTGGATTCTGCGGAGATGCAGGGGATCTCTGCTTCCTCCTGCCCCTTCTCTCCTGGGGCCGTCTCCAAACACCACAGGTGCATCCCGGGCAGAGGGAGGGGATGCGATCTCTGCCCACACACGGGCCACCTTGGCTCCAGAGGAAGGGTTTTCTTGTCCTGGGAGTGGTTCTGGCCTGGGGACAGCCATATGGGGACGTCCCCACAGAAAGGGTTGTCGGCGGCAGTGTGACCTCAGGACGTGTCCCTAAGGCAGGTTTCCACGTGCCCTCATGTCCTGGCTGGTGCACGTGGGCTTCAATTCCTCCCCTAGGGAAGGGTCTGCACCCTGGGGACCTTCCAGCCTCAGCAGACCCCAGGGAGCAGAGGGGAGCTCTACCTGTCCATGTGGACCATGGCTCCCACCTGTGAGCAATTTCTGCAGACCAGGCTGTGCACCCTCCCACTGAGCCTAAGGACACGCCCATCGATCCTGTCATTACAAGTGAACAGGCTGAGGCCACGTCACCCACAGGGGACAGCAGGTCCAAGTCAGAGGGCAAGGTGTAGGGAGAGGGGGGTTGGGAAAGGCTTCTGAGAGGGGAAGCGAGCGGCCAACTCTCATGCAGGTTGCACAGCAGGGCCCACTGGGACATCTTAGTGGGGAAGAGCAGCGTAACAGGAGGGTGCTCAGGAAGGGCAAGGGTGGGACACTGTCACCACCTGTCTTGTGTCCCAGCTGTGCCCCTGTGTGTTTGGGGGAGTGGGGGAGTCACAGCCCAGAGAGGGGCAGACACAGGACACGGGCCAGGCAGGGAGCAAACCCTGGATACTGCCCCTCAAGTCCCGCGGTTTAGGATTGGGAACACCTGGGGTCCCTGGTCTGTGCTGCCCTCCCTGGGAGCCCTCACAGTGCACCAATGTGGGAAGACAGGCAGAAAAAGGTTGCTGAGCGGGCTGGGGTGGGAGGACAAGGAGAGGACAGAGGCCTGGGACGGCACAGCAGAGCAGTGAGGCAGTGAGCAGAGGAGTGAGTGAGCCGCCTCCCTCGCTTCTCTGCCATCCCAGACCCCAGCCCAACTCCACCCCCAGCTCCCTGAGCCCCTTCCTGTCCTGGGGAAGTCCACCTGCCCTGACACCCCAGGCCCGTCCTGCTGCCACACTCACCAGGCTCAGGTGACCCAAGAGCCAGTTTGTTTTGGGAGGCTCTGGGAAACATCGGAGGCGGCTCCAGTTGTCATAGAAGGC